ACAAGGACTTAAAGCCCAGATTTTTATAGACAAGACTCATGTTTAGTCAAGTTTGATAAACCTATTTTCTTAGGCAGTATGAAGTTTTATAAAGCTTACCAGTGTATTGAATGATCCCACTGGTATTTTGAAACTCATGTGTTTATAAAATGGACATAAAGATTTTCCTGAAGTTTTAATACGTGGCTATTTCTGAGGAGTAGACATGGTGTGTCATTCAGGTAAGAAAGAATATTTCTGTATTTTCTGTTAAAGCTTATGTATTGTTTTGAATTTTTATTTGTAATGAGGATGTTTTACTTTTATATAAAAATATACTTTTGTATAAAAATGAGTTAATAGAGTTGATGCAAACATGAGTTGTTTAAAGCTTAAGAATTTGTTTGGGGAGAGGCTTCTGGCTGGAGGGGAAAGGACAGATCTATGAGGCTGCACAAATAGTGGTTTTCTAGAACTCTCTTCAGTTTCAAGAGAAGTGACTGAACTGGGCAAGGGGTTGTGGATTGACCTGAAGCCAGGGATCTGAGGCTTGCAGGGGCTGAAGTGTGTCAGGAAGCATACTGGCAGGGTAGGTGGTTTTATGCAGTCGTTAGCTTTAAAAAAAACTTTAGATTCCAAGGTGTTTATGATTAAATGACTTCTGTCAGTTCAGGTTGCTCAATATGTAGGTGGCCTGCTTTGGTTTTATGTTATGGCAAAGAGATCAGGAAGGTATGAAGGTCAGAGGAGCTTTGGATCACATTACAGCTTCAGTTCAGCTCAGTCATGTCCAACTCTTTGTGACCCCATGGACCACAGCATGCCAGGCTTCCCTACCATTCATCACCAACTCTCATACTAACTAACTAACTCAACTCACCAACCAACTCAAACTCATATCCATTGAGTCGGTGATGCCATCCAACCATCTCACCCTCTGTCGTCCCCTTCTCCTCCAGTGTTCAATGTTTCCCAGCATCAGGATCTTTTCAAATGAGTCAGTTCTTCGCATCAGGGGGCCAAAGTATTGGAGTTTCAGCTTCAGTATCAGTCCTTCTAATGAATATTCAGGACTGATTTCCTTTAGGATGGACTGGTTGGATATCCTTGCAGTCCCAGGGACTCTCAAGAGTCTTCTCTAACACTGCAGTTCAAAAGCATCAATTCTTTGGTGCTCAGCTTTCTTTATAGTCCAACTCTCACATCCACACATGACTACTGGAAAAACCATAGCTTTGACTGTTTAGACCTTTGTTGGCAAAGTAATGTGTCTGCTTTTTAATATGCTGTCTAGGGTGGTCATAGTTTTTCTTCCAAGGAGTAAGCATCTTTAAATTTTGGGGCTGCAGTCACCATCTGCAGTGATTTTGGAGCCCCCCAAAATAAAGTCTCTCACTGTTTCCCCATCTATTTGCCATGAAGTGATGGGACCAGATGCCATGATCTTAGTTTTCTGAATGTTGAGTTTTAAGCCAACTTTTTCACTCTCCTCTTTCACTTTCATCAAGAGGCTCTTTAGTTCTTTGCTTTCTGCCATAAGGGTGGTGTCATCTGCGTATCTGAGGTTGTTGATATTTTTCCTGGCAATCTTGATTCCAGCTTGTGCTTCATCCAGCCCAGCATTTCGCATGATGTACTCTGCATATAAGTTAAATAAGCAGGGTGACAGTATATAGCCTTGATGTACTCCTTTCCCGATTTGGAACCATTACAACTTGGCACCAATCAAAAGTGAAAAGTCAAAGTGTTAGTTGCTCAGTCATGTCTGGCTCTTTGTTTCCTTATGGACTGTAGCCCGCCAGGCTCCTCTGTCCATGGAATTCTCCAGGCAAGGATACTGGAGTAGGTAACCATTTCCTTCTCCACAGGATCTTCCCAATCCAGGAATCGAACCCAGTCTCCTGCATTGCAGGAAGATAATTCAACATCTGAGCCACCAGGGAAGCCCATAGTTATAGCAAAGGCTGTTAATGGATTCATGCTTCGTCACTCAGTCGTGTCCGACTCTTTGCAACTCATGGACTGTAGCCTGCCACGCTCCTCTGTCCATGCGATTCTTCAGGCAAGAATACTAGAGTCAGTTGCCATTCCCTTCTCCAGGGGATCTTCTGGACCTAAGAACTGAACCTGGATCTCCCTCATTGCAGGTGGATTCTTTACCACCAATCAAAGCTATTATTTAAATGGTTCAATGAATAAACAATGTTTAGTTTTTTCCTAATGATTTGGAAAGCAACACTGAACATGTGAAAACAAAGGATACTGGCAAGAGATGGTCAAATGATTATTTCGAAGGCTAAGGCAGGTTCACCATTATCATATAAGGGGTATAATTTCATTCTCCCAAATCTGAAAAAAATTGGCATAGGATAATATTTCTTTATTCAGTCTTGCTTGGTAAAAATCAAAATAATTTCATTTAGAATGTTAATATAGTGGCATTTTCTGTATATTTAAGTAGGTCACAAGTATGTATTGAAATATCATTTTCTGTTTTAATATATACATTACAATTAAAAGATTCATGGCTCAGAAATATAACTCTTAACACTTCAAAATTCCACTATTCCCATTCCCAAATTAACTTCTCTAAGCTACTCCATATAGATATGCATACACTCATGTAGTGGTTTTATTGCATCGTATTCTATATACCCTGCACTTGCCTTTTTCATTTAATGATGTGGCTTAGAGCTTATTCTCAGTCATTGCTTATAATTCACCTTGTGCTTTTTCATGGTTGAAGTATTTTACAATTTGAATGCATCAATATTTTATTGTACTTAAATTTGAGAACAAATAATTAAACTTTCTTTTAGCCAGATTTATACCTGAAGAAGGGACTTTAGAGAGAATGATAGGTATTCTAGAAATTCCACATCCTATGGACTGGTATTAGGAGCATGGGATGAAATGAGGAAAGGGACCTACAGGTAACAGTAATGATCAGGAAAGGATCTTGTAAAACTATTTCCAAATGCATATTGTTATAACTTTTTGGCCAAAAGGCTTGTTGGTGCAGACCATGTTAAAATCAGATCTTTTAGATAACAGCTGATTTATAAAGTGTACAGTCTTCTCTCTTTTTTAAAATATAATGCATTGTTCTCTTCACCATTTAGTTCTGATTTTTACTTTGGAATGTTTATCATTACTTCTTGGAAAATAACACTGCTAACAAGAAGGGCAGCTTGCTTTAAAAAAAAAAAATGTAGCAAGAAAGCCAACAATTTGTGGACAGGATGGTCATGTAGTTTGACCATGGTTAAGAAGCTACTGACCAGCAATAGATCACTGTTCTATTAAAATATAGGTTACAGCATTTAAGACTACAAATTTAACATTTTATAAGGTGATAAACTGTTCTTCTATGCCCACCATTCTCCCCTAAAAGAGCAATAGTATAATTTGACTATGGACTTTCGCCCACACATAGTTGGTTTTCCAATTGTAAATTTGGGTAACATTTTAGAAGTTGAATTAGCTGCTTCAGGGTGGTCATTTAATATATAAAGTCCTGTTTAGACTCAAAATTAAAAGGTGATGAGTTGCCATTGTCTTTTTATAAGTCTAGAAACTGTCATTATTTATATTGTAATTGTTTTAACAGAAACTGTTTTAGTGTTTATAGTCCACATTCTGGCTTTGCCTGCTTAATTTTTAAAATTTTGAGATTCAGTGATTTCATGTTTTGGTTACATTTTTTATTCAGTTATATCTTTGGTTGCAGAAACTAGATTTGAAAGCTTATCTGAATCATTAAATAACCAAATACAGTTACTCAGAGGCTTGTTAAATGAGTAAAAGTGTTGCCAGGGAGTTTTCATAGAGCTTTATGTGCTGTTAATTGCCTGCAATTAAATCTGTTACAAGTAATAATGTACTGTAATCTGTTGAAAACCTCACCTTTCAATTAACCAATTCTCCAACCTTTCCTTCCTTCTCCTTGAAGAGTAGTTTAGGGTCTATTTATTTTCACCTGTACATGCCAATTACCTCTGGCCCAGATGTTACTGGCATACCAGGGAATCTGATCTTAAGTACAAGTCTAAATTATTGCTTCTCTTTATACCTTGTTGTAATGTGAATGGTTTGATGGAAAAATACATGTTTCTAATCCACTGGTGCAGACTACCTATTATGAGCTAGTCAATTTACATGTATTATTTCAAATCCTCACAATAGCCTTACAAAGTTAGTGACACCCCTGTTTTATACAGAAGGAAATAGAGACTCAGAGATGTATAAATAGCTGTTCACAATCAAGAACTGGGAAGGTCAGAGCTGGGAGCCAAGGTCAAAACCATACCTGGCAGACCCGAAAGCACTTCTCTTTCGTCATCTGTTTCCAACGAAATGCAGTTTATGTGTTATAGAGAATAGATGAGAAGGCAGTCTGTGTAGGGGCTCTCAGCACCAACTCAGCCGCTACCAACTTCTTGACTTAGTCTCAGGTTTCTTATTTGCAAAATAGGGGTACTACCGCTCACCCTGATGGATCGTCATGAAGTGGGAATGTATGGCGTATTGTGGCTCTTCCAAAAAGTGACCTGAAGTCCCCCTCCTGGTTGACAGGATGAAAGCAAATGCATTACAGAATTTTAATTTACTGTCTTGGAACAGAAGAGACTGATTAGATTGTTGCCATTGCATTTTTCATAGTTCATCTTTGGAAAAGGAGAACCGACTACAATCCCAGCAGCAGTGCCATTTGTAGTGGGGGTGTTTTTCTTTTTAACCTTCATTTTAATCCCATTTAGAGTTACAAAAATTTCTGAAGGTTCTCATGCTGCCTGGGGCCCCGGGCTGCAATTTTGTCTCAGCCTATTGATGTGGTGAGCTGTTGGAAGAGGTAGGAGTGATGTAGAAGGAGATGGCATCAGGAAACTAATGAGCTAAACACATATTTCTCTGACCACTAGAATTCCAATTGAGCTAACTGGTGCGTTTATGAAAGTCTTACTTGCAAAACCAGTAAATTGTTTGACTGAAATTTTCTTTCTCTTTAAAATTGTTTTTAGGATGCAGAATAGAAAACTGTGATTCTTGCTTTAGCAAAGACTTTTGTACCAAGTGCAAAGTAGGCTTTTATTTGCATAGAGGCCGTTGCTTTGAGGAATGTCCAGATGGTTTTGCACCATTAGATGAAACCATGGAATGTGTGGGTAAGTAGTGTTTCATGTAACTTTCAAATTTCCACTTTTATTTTAACACCTGTTTATTGGGGGGGGGGGGTGGAATGAATGCTGAATGTATTCATTCTAAAAACAAATTGGTTCTCTTGTTATTAATTAGAACTGAAAATTATTGAAGTTCTTTGCTATTGAGTTCTTCAGTCACTCTGCCATTGGGCAGTATCATAAATTACATTTTGCTACAAAATTTGCTAGTAGAACATTAGGTTAAACTACTTAAATGCTGAGAATAATGTTTTTATGATTTATGTAATGTATCCCCATTTCTTAATTATCTTATTAGTAACTGTTAGAGAAAAACATTTTGTTTAGAAGAAACTGTTTAAGCAGTGTCATGTGGTTAGTTAGTCTATCATTTTCATTATGTGTATTAATTTTACAGCTTCTTGCTTAGCCACACATTTGTATAAAAAGAATCTATTAGGAAGAGATTTTTTTTGTGACACATATACTTTGTTGATGATTGCATGTTGCAAAGTGCATTAAAACAATTTTACTAAATTAGGCATGTAGAATGCATAATTTAATCTGCACATATATGCTGTTTGTAAATAATAATTAGGAATACATATTTTTATAAATTTTGGGGTTTTTTGGTGTGTTTAAAAAACCTTGTGGCATTTTTTTATGCCACTGATTAAAATGTAAAGGTCTATCAGTACCTACATTTTGATAAATGCCTGAATCTAATCAAGTGTAATGACATCTTCACCACCTCCACCCCCAACATGCCTGAATTGTATTTGCCATGTTTTATATCTGATATGGTGCACAACAGAGCAATGTATTAGGAATGAGACTTTCCATCTTTTTAAAATGAAGACTTAAGTTGAGAACTTTTTTCCTGCATAAATACCAAAGTAGTCTGTAACTATATTTGAAAGCTTGCAGAGAACACATTTAAATGAAAGATTTTTGAAGAAATGTGTGCTTATGTTCCTATATATGTGTGAATTAATACATGCATATAAGCAACACCCTATTGAAAAATATAGAAAGTCACCAAAAGAGCATGTTCAAAATGTTGGATTTGTTTTTGAGAGGTGAGACCCATACCAGTTACAGAAGTACAGAGGAAATTCTTATGAAACCTTTAAGCATTAACAAATTAACAGTAGTCCTAACAAATTAACAGTAGTCCTATGCATTCCCCTGGATAAAAATCTTAAATAGCTTTGAAAAACCTAAGAGTCACCATGCTGCCTTATGAAATCTGGAATGAAGAAATATTCATTGTGTGTGGATTCTGTGCCTGGGTCCTCTTCTGCTATTACACTTAGGGGCTTTTAATGGTGAATTTGATGAGGTTTAACTGTATATTTTTATTCTTTTATCCCAGGGGAGTTGCAGAGTAGCCTATTTTTTCATTATATGAAGTTAAAAAAGGAGGATGCTAAAAGTTTTTACATACCTGGGAAAACATACGTTTTCAAATATCTGATCATATTTGTTTACTTTTCAAACTATAGCATCAATTTAGGGAATAAGAAATACATACTGTGGTTTCCAGATACCTATTAAAGGAAATGAGATAATCAGAAAATGCAAAATACACTCCCTATCTTTTCATGAAGTATTAATATTTACTTCCAACTAAAACTAACACACTTGTGAATTTCAGTGGGGGCATGCAGAATTTACTTGTAAAATTTTGTTTCCTCTTCATGGTATGAAAACAGTATATTTTACTGTAGGTTTTAGCTGTTGAATCTTTTAAAGATAATATATTCAATGTCTTTAGAATGGACTAGTTAACATCCCATCAAAAAATGAACCAGTACAAAAAGAAAGTAATAGTTTTTAAATTACTTATGTGGCAGCTTTTTACTTTTATCTGTAACTCCATAATGCAAAAATTTCCCAAAAGGTGTATTCCGGTCTTGGGCTGTACAGCTTAATTTTTGGTATCTGAAAGTGAGGGAGTAGAAAGATACTGCTATATAAATTTTGTAACAATGGAGAAATGTATACCAAATTGTTATCTGTGTTTGTTTTTTCTCTATTAGAAGGATGTGAGGTTGGCCACTGGAGTGAATGGGGAATTTGTAGCAGAAATAATCGCACATGTGGATTTAAGTGGGGTCTGGAAACCAGAACACGGCAAATTGTTAAAAAGCCAGCAAAAGACACGATACCATGTCCAACCATTGCTGAGTCCAGGAGATGTAAGATGGCCATGAGGCATTGTCCAGGAGGTGAGTTCAGATAATCCCTATTGTGGACTATGTGCTTTCTGGGTTTTCTTCCTTCCTAATCACCCTTGCTCCCAATAAAGAGTATTTATCCTTGAAGGAAATCTGATAATAACATTGGCAAGAGGGTAAAATTCCACACTGAACTTCCTTAGAGACAAATGCTTAAATTGTGAAGAATATAAAATGACTGTTTAGTTTCATGATACCTTGAAAGTAATTTAGAAGACAACTTTACAAATCAACTTTTAAAACAAGATTTCTAAAAGTGTGTGTGTGTCAGTGTTTTTCTTTTTCTTTTTTTCACTAATGTACCATAAAAGCCAGTTCTTATGAAATCAGGCCTTTGCAGATGTTGCTCTAAGAGAAGCAGCCAACTTTCAGTTGAGAAGAGTTTAGATTAGAAAGGTTTATGGAATCCGTAAAATCATCTGTATCACAACTAGTTGAAGATGACAACTTAAAATAAACTTGCCCAAACACTGGGAGGAATAAACATTGTCTTAATGTTGCCACAATTAGCCGGTTCTCTGTTTTGATAATAATTTGTGGAAAACAGCTACTAGTATGTGTATGTTTATTTGTGTCTTTGTAGTAATTGTGCTGATTTACAGTAATTATTCTGTAATAACAGGATTAGGCCCACTTACCAATTGGGAGAAGTGTACATAGCTCAGGTGCTGGCTGGAGCCGAGTTAGTATGTTGAAATGTAGTTCTTAGTGCTGATGCTGTGCTTCTGAAAGCATAATCTTTTGTTACTGTTTATTTTATCACTAGCGGATGCTGCATTGCCAAAAATGAAGTTAGGACTTTTCTAGTGCACAAAATAGAAGAGCAAAAAAAGAAAGTTGCATGTAGAAAATTGCCCTATGAAACAATCAGAACTTTCGTTTGCCTTTATTTCTTGTTGTTGGGGCATAGCTTTCAGCTTTGTGGCTGTAGCCCAGAGGAGAATATATATCTGCCTAGAATGGATTTATATCCCTATTCTGCTGCCTCATAGAGAATGCCTGTGATCCATGGAGGAAGACAAAACTTTTAAGACTTGAAGACTCCAGTTGGCCTTTTGAGAACTATTAGATCCAGATTCAGAAGCTACTATTAGGAAGGCAGCTTTTCCTCTTGAATTAGTTTTGCTTTTCTATGCTGAGTCTTTGAAACAAAGTTTTTTTGGGTCTGCTTTGCACTAACAAGGATGGTTTTGTTCAGTTAAACTGGGTATTTTTCAGTCAAAATATAAGAAAATATTTTCTTACAAAACTAATAAGCCACTTCTTGGATAGCTGAGAGCATTTAACCTGCAACCTTGTGCCTAAAAACAAACCCGATGTATTCAGGTATTGGGAATAAAGGCTTTCTTTGTTGTATATTGTTTATTTAACTACCCCCCACTCCTCTTCCAGCAACGTGGTCCCCAATTGTGGTTTACATTAATAGCAAAAATTAACCTGAAAATGCTCCTATAACAAACATGCTTATGTGTAACAAGAACCAGCATGCCCCCCTCCCCTCAGAAACTATTTTGACTTAGCCCTGGTCTTGTTGAGAATTTTGTAGATAACAGCTAGATTTTTAACCTATAATGCTTATTGCATTTTTTTAATGCTTCCAAAAGCAGTGTACTGTCTTAAGAGATATAACCTGACACTTTCAGCAATTAAAATCATGTCAAAACAAAAGTTTATGTATCATCTGTTAGTATTTTCTTTGACAAGTGAACCAGTAATGAACTCTTATTTAATTTACATTTAGGTTTTGCCAAATATTATTTATTAGGATAGACATTTGCAGAGACAAGCTATTGCTCTAATCCATGTATTGACATATTCAGTTTAATAAATTCAATTTTTAAGTAACCTTTAAAGTTAGTAGGTTTAAAAAGTTATACTGGAATTTATTTTCTGTTTTATAAAAAAGAAACTAACATAAAATTGATAGAAATGGAAAATGACTCTGCAATAAAATAACTTCTATTTACAAATGTAGGAAATGAAAACTAGAAAATTAATTTTGGAACTTGAGCACCAATTGATAAAAATTGGCATAACTTCCAGTGGAGTATCCCACCTTGCCTCAGGTGAGAGAGGAAAAGGTTCCTTTCTTCTGTAGGTCACGGTGATTAATGGAAGAATGGAGAAGAAAACCACTTTATCCCATTTTACATCTTGACTTGATTTCAGTGATCTGCTTTGACAAACCATGCAAAAATGTAAGTCGTAATCAGGTTGGGAATACAGGCATTTTTCAGATCTTTTCAACATATGTATGGATTTTCCTCTTGTTGGAGGCAATCTTAACCTGATTGCACACAAACGCAGCCTTAACCTCCTTCACACTAGAGCACAGGCACATTAAAATCAGCTGCTTTTCATTACTGGAAGGCATAAGTTAGAGGTCAGCAAAATGGAGTAGTCCTAAGTAAATATATAAGATATTACACTAAAAACTATTAAAAATGAACCAATAAATGGCTGTAGGATTTAAAAACAACAATGTAATGCTTTAGCCTATTTTTCCTTAACTATCAATGCTTATTTGCTTTAAAACAATGAAAGGATATTTGAAAATATCTTAAGTCATGGACTGATATATGACATGAAGTAAGCATCCATTTCCAAACTTTTCTTGATCAGTTATCTTCTCTTTCATTTCTGATTATGTAATCTGTAGAGTTCCTGGGGCTTTTCTGACACTCATTCCTCAGGATTCCGGTCTGGTGATCAGACGATCTGGGTCTCTGCACCCTGTCACCTCATTAATTCTATGATACTTGGCAAGTCACTTAACCTCTCCTGGCCTCTATTTCCTATTTTAAATTGAGGGTATTGGGGTAGGCAATCTTGAAGATCCAGTCCAGTTCTAAAATCCAGTGATTCTAAGACTAATTGCCAAAAATGACATGGATATATTTTGTGGTTGTCATGTGAAGGGTGAGGAAGAGAATTGTAAGCCCAGGAACATTGTTTTATGACCAAGAACTGAACACTTTTCCAGTAGCTACAACTGTGCATTTGTGCAGCCTTTTCCATCTGGCAGTTTACACTCTTCCTCTCTCCTCCTTCCTTTTCAAACACTCTCAAAGACTGAACAAGATTCTTGTAAAATCTTCAAATGACTTAAAGTTTAGTTAGTGGGAGATATGGAGAAAGACAGCAGGAGGATGAAGAAGGAAAGAGGAGGGGATCATAAAAAGATAGTGGGAAAAAGGGAAAGGGTAACAATGAGTTAGGGGGAAAAAATTGAACAATGAGTGTAGGAAGCAAGGGATAAAAGAACAGATTACTAAAAATGAAGACTTGGCTCCCAGCAGATGTAACTGTCTTCACTTCTCTCCCTCCCACCCTGAGCTCACTAATAGAATTCATTATGATGGGACCAAGTTATCCTATTCATATATGCAGCTTTAAATGGAAGAAACTTAGTCTGCACTATATTGTACCTTAGGCAATATATTAATAGAAAAATATGAATGTGCTATTATCATATTTAAGTGACAAATGGAAGAACAAAATTATGGCTACTCAGGTACAAAGTTGGGAGACATTCATGTATGGTGGGGGGAAATGTCATTTGGAGGGGACAATAGTCTTTCACAGGATTGACCAATGCCACTTCAACCTGAAATAGTCTGTCCTATCTGTAAAGTCCCATGACAACTAATTTTAACCTATTCATCAGGTGTTTATTGAGCAGTGCTGTGTACCAATCATTGGTACACAGTTCTAACAGTGTTTTTTCTGGTGGGTATCATGACATTAGAGAAGTGGATGAGTGCCTTACTTCATGTGGAGAGGTGGGAGCCGTGTGAAGAAAAGTAAAGCAGGATAAGGAGTGAGTGAAAGATTGGATTGGGGTGTATTATGTCAGGTGTTCAGGGAAATTGAGGGAGTAACATTTGATCACAAATCTGAATGAAGGAGATCTTTTGAAGACCTAAGGGAAATTTTCTTCTTCTTCTTCTTCTTTTTTTTTTTTAGCTCTTGACTCAATGGCTATGTTTTTTGAACATCGTTGATTCTCCCATTACCTATTAGAGAAGAGGAAGGAACTGGGATCTAGGATTCTTTTACTGGGCCACAGAGACGTAGCAAGTTGTTAATGGTAAAGCCAAGAGTGGGAAGCTCATGTCTACCTGCACCTTTCCCTTGTTCCTTATTATAAAGTTCAAAGATAAACCCATAGTTGTCTAACATCAAAGTAACTGACTTTAAACTATTTCTCCCTCCACCTCAATGCATCATTTTCTTTTTGTTTTACTAAGTTTTTCTTAAAAACATGACACTCTGCCATCACTATCACCTCCCAACGTCTTCCCACTTGAGATAGCTAGTGAAACATACCCCAAAGGTCATTTTATAAATGCAAAGTGTTGAGTCACTGGCTTTGTTTCAATTCTGCCATTCCTACTTACAGCCATTCCTGCCTTATAGGAGAAGGTCATCTTCTTCCATAATTTTAGTATCATTGGCCCTCAGTTTGTTGGGGGTGGGGGGAATGTGAGTGCACGATCGTTCTTTCATCCTTAGTCTTTCAAGGCCGCCCTTCCATTGAGGCTGTCCCCACAGAGCCACGCGGAGCACTCTTCTCTGCCCCCTTTTGCTCCCTGGCCTGCCCAGGAGCCCTGGGATCTGAACCCAGCCCCACTTCTAGTGGCTTGGTGCCTAGAATGGCTTCTCTCTTTCTGACACATCTAAGCAATCAGATGGTTAAAGTAATTTAGGTAATGCTTGGACAGATGTACAGACAGCCTTCTGTTTTTTTTGCTCATGGCTGCCTCAGCGTACCATACTGCAGCTGTTAGTAACAATATGGTGCAATTCTTTAAGCCTTAGGTCGTATTTTCTCAGGACTGTGCTAAAATTTAAGTATAAAAACTGCTACTACTTAGGATTTTAACTTGAAAATAACTCACTGCTCCTCTTATGTGACATTATTTGACCAGCATCTACTTTGTGTTTTTAAGTGGCTTTTAACTTTGTTGTTCTTTAGTCACTAAGTGGTG